CTCCACCTGTGGCTCCCACCTGGCTGTGGTTTCCCTCTTCTATGGCACCATCATTGCTGTGTATTTCAACCCCTCATCCACCCACTCAGCTGAGAATGACACTGCAGCGACTGTGTTGTACACGGTGGTGACTCCCATGCTGAACCCTTTCATCTACAGCCTCAGGAACAAGGACCTGAAAGGGGCTCTGAGAAAAGTGATTGGGAGAAAGAGGATTTCTACCCAATGAAAATGTCACAACTACTTCTGATTCAGAGGCAAAGTTCTTTTTCACCAATTAAGCATAAGGTAGCTAGCAATTGTTTCATTAATGCCAGTCTGGAAACCAACATCTTGTTAAGAGCATATAGGAAGTTATGGTTATTTATTAGCAGACTGGGATTAACCTGTAACCTTGCTGTATATGCTAGATAATGAGACTTCTTTTTGCTGACTAACTTGTGGATTATTTTACACCCAAAGTTTTCCTTTTGGTGTATGATCTGTTGGGAATGCTACATGCTGAAATAGTTTGAACATTAGAATCACCTTGAAAGTTTTTGAAACACTCTGAAGTCTAGTCTCCAGCACTGACCAAATGAATCAGAATCTCTGGGGTGGCTGTGATACTGACAAGGTAAAGAGACTTTTAGGAGATTCTAAAGTGCAGTTATAGTTCAAAGTCACTGGTCTACCTCATAGCCCCTTCATACGGGTCCTACATGATAATCCAGCCATAAAGCTTGAATTTAAAATATTCTCACAAATCACTTTTCAGACTCAGTTGCATGAGAGTGTGAAATCTGAGGACTGGAGTGGGCAATACCATTTCTGAGGAGAAGCAGAGCCCCTCGTGGGCACTGTGGTCCAGAGCACCAAGAGGTGAAGAAGCACAGAAGAATGGAAACCTTTCCTGATGCTCTGGCTCAGATAAATATACATTGTGGTTGGGTTTAGCCGGGATTATCGTGTTTCTGATATCAGGGAAATAAATCACTCTTTTCTATTCTCTCTGTTCAGATCAACTCCCCTCACTTTCTTCTCACACTAGCAACCCCTTCCTCTGTCCATACCTTTAACACCTAATCAAAATTCATGCCCTCCTCTGTGCAATCTCCGGACTCCTCCTTCTGGGACTCGTGCCTCTATTTTCCTGGGGGTTAATTGCACATGGTACTAGCATTATTTGCTTTTCACCTCTTCCTCCTCTGAAGGCTCTCCCCAGATTATGAGCTGTCACAGATCCAAGAGCATCTAGTAATCATTTTGGATATTTAGTGGCTCGCCCAGCTGCTGGACCAGAGGTCAGCATCAACTCCGAGAGAAATGAAAAAAAAAGAAAAAAAAAGAAAGAAAGATAAAGGAATGTACACATGAGTATTGCCTTAATTTTAACTGAGAGCTTTAAAACAACATTTTGGCATTCCAAATATAATACCTACACACTTTAAGTACTTCTGTGTTTGTGAAGAATAAGATGCAAATAATATTAACTTTGCCACTTAAGATAATCCTAACTAAACTTTAAGAATAAAAGTTTACAAAAGTAAATTTATGCATTTCATCCTTTTTTAAGTCTTTCAGAAAATTTCCTTTAATTCTGTCTCCTGTTATTTTCCATTCGTTTTCCCCACGCCAGCAAAACTCTAGAAATGGGATGATTATGGCTGTATGATAGGCATCCACTTTCCAAGTCTGAATAACTTTCTTATTGCTGCCCTCAGGCTTCTGTGTGACCCTTTGTATGCCTGATGATTGCCTGCTAGTCTGTATATTCGAGTATTAACATTTAAAAATTAAATTCAACTTTCTTTTGTTTCTTCAATTTTCTCACCTGACCAGACCACAACTCTCTAAGAGGGTCCAGTACCTCCCTCTTGGTGTCCACCTTCTCTTGCACGTCCTCTAGTTCAAGACTGGACCAGTCAGTCTTGCTTTTCCCCTCTTGGTGGAGCGAGCACTCTGAGGCTAGCTGGAGTAACCTTGTGAGCTGCAGGTCCATCGTATGGCTGTTGAATAGTCATCCTGTTTGTTCATCTGCAGACCTGTCTGTTGCAGCATTGATACCCATGGTGCACATGCCTTTGGAGGCCACCCTGGGTCTGCTGCTTGGTTCCCATGTTACAACTCTCTGGGTCACATTTCCTTTATCCTCTTTTAAAACCTGAGTCTAAATCATTGTGAAGGAGCTCTGCTGGTATAGTGTGTTATGAATTGGGTTGCTAACCATAAGGTCACCAGTTTGAAACCACCAGTTGTTCCTTGAGAGAAAGATGAGATTTTGTAACCCTATATAAATTTATAGTCTCAGAAACCCACAGAGGCAGTTCTAGCCTCTCTTACAGAGTTGTTATGAGCATTAGTCTACTTAATGGCAGTAATTTTTTCCCCCTTCTAAGCCATGGTAGCCACTATCACAGGGCTTCTAGTTGCACTGTGTGAAACCAGTGCTCTCCATTAACTTCTGCATATCAAAACAGCCAGCTCAGATTTCTCCTCTTGAAATCCCCTTTGGGCCCTTGGGAGGATCTTTTTAGGTGAACCTGAGATCAATCAGATTTTTTACTTCCCCCAATTTAGCCGTTATGATTGAATTTTGTCCCCCAATATTTAGGAACAACCCATAAGAGGTGAGGATAGAGTTTTTATACAAAGGTGGGGAGAGATAGAAGAACTGACTGAGAACTAATTGGAGAGACATCATTCTCTTTGTATCAGGCAGCTTACTGATGGGGATACAGTCCTGCTTCCAGTGGAGACTGGCTTGAAAGGACAGTTTCTGCAGAAGGGGCTCTCTCTGGGGAATCCTTTTATATTTTGAATGAGGTGGATTGTCAACCATTCACATCATGATGGTAATCTAGCCCTTTGACCTCATTGCTAGGCTCCTGCTGTTGCTATTCTCATGAGGGCAGGAAGTAGGGAACACTTACAACGTCTCTGGCTGTCATCTGTGGGGAAGCTTATCATCTTAGTGGGCCCAAGGACACACAGGAGTGCCTGCTTAGTTGAAGGGGGAGTGTATGTTTAGCTGCCCCATCGCCATTTGTAGAATGTTAACTCTTGTCCCTACTCCCAAAAAGTGTGTCATGAATTCCTGCTCTTATGGAGGCAGTCCCATTTGGGAATTGGATTTTCTTTATTAAGAGGGTCATATCAGTGTAGGGTGTGGTTTAAACTTTACTTTTGTGTTATGAGAAGATTAGGCAAAGAAAAGCAAGCACAAATGTCGGGGAAGATATATGCCGCCTGTAGATGATCAGTATTCAAGTCATTCCAACTCTGTATACAGAAGTGAACACACACACACACACACACACACACACACACACACACACACACTTTTACCAGAGCTGGTGCATTGATGTCAAGCTTTTAGCATTCTCAAAACGAAAAAAATATCACATTCATTGCCATCAGGTTGATGCTGAATCATAGTGACCTTATAGGACAGGGTAGAACTGCCCCTGTGAGCTTCTGAGACTCTAATTCCTTTTTTTTTTTGAGACTGTAATTCTTTATGGGAATCGAAAGCCTTGATATTCTCTCATAGAAAGTCTTCTCAACTGTAAGAAAATAAATTTCTGTTTGTTTAAGCCATCTACTCTTGGTATTTCTGGTATAGAAGCACTAGCAAAGAAAGATAATAGTACATCTATAAAATAGAATTCAAATAAGTGCTTATGGAAAATACAACATTAAAATACTTAAGGCCCTGTTTATTTTATTGGCTTTGTCTGTAATGCCTCTTTTGGTTTGCTTCTTTTTTTAAAAAAATTGTGGTACATTTTATATAGACAAACCTTTGCCATTTTAAACATTTTTAACTATACCTTATCAAGGACATTATCTTCTGAGATTAAAGACTAATAGTGAGTATTTCAAATAATTTCCTTTCTATATGCTAAGAGAATATTTTTTGATTTGATGTTGGGTTACAGTGGACACAGAGGCTAGTGAATCTTATCTATTCATTATGGATTGTGCCTTTCAGAAAGACAATGATGTTGGTCCTTTTCATTTCCTTTTGCCTCTTAAAGTCGTCGTTGGTTAATGTTAATATCCCCAGTTATGCATTCTTTTGGCTTGTGTTTACTCATTCTCTCAGACCTTCTCAAACAGTTTGCTTGGGATCCCTGTTCTATTCTCGGTGTCATGGTGCTCTTTTCAGGAAGCTTTTAGTGGGCAAGGCAGCATCTGTTTCTGAAGGTGCAACTAGAAAGAATTGTCTACAGTGGATACCTCCATCTCCCATCCGCCATTTAAAAAAAAAAAAAATCAAACCTTTACATCTTAGGTAATCTTTTTCATCATTGTTGGGTCTGATGGGGACAAAATGTAGGTGGGACAATTACGCTCTTTTTGTCTTTAATAAGGCTCTCAGGGAATTTGGTCCCAGTGGCCAGGAAGACTCTGTAAAGGCCTGATCTGTGATACTCCCAAACATTATTCGTGCCCAGAACACTGCTTCTCACTGGCTCAGAAGCAGCCTGTATTCCTAAGACTTTCAAATCCCCATAATACAGAGAAACATCGGTCAGTGATGCAAAGGGGAAGAACATAAGGTCAGCACAGCACAAGCCCCCCCCCCAGGTATGGTTACGGCAAAGGAGATATTAATTTTTTGTTTATTGAGCTATGAATTTCTTCTAGATCTTGGAGCAATATTAGGAGTTCTGCATCCATTAGCCAGAACAAGTGATAAACCCAGCTGTGTCTCATGTGTCTAGGCACATTGAGAACTTAGGGGTGGAAACTGGGAAATGTAAGTAGAGAAATAGATTGGGCTCTGTGCATATGCCTGTGTGTGTGTTTTCAATGTTAAATGTGGGTATATGTGCCAGTGATTCGAGTGGGAATTTCCTCAGAATGTTGGGATTGGGTATAGTTGGGATGGACTGATTATATCGTAGCAACACTATTCACCGACTTACAAATATGGTTCAACCTGATTTGTCCTAATTTAACCATTGTGTCCAGGTCTCTGAATTTGCTGTTGAGCATAACCTTGTTCTAAGCCCATGAACAAGGAAAATCAGTCGAGTGTATCCGAGTTCCTCCTCCTGGGGCTCTCCAAGCAGCCTCAAGAACAGCGGATCTTCTTCCTGCTCTTCCTGAGCATGTACCTGGCCACAGTCCTGGGAAACCTGCTCATTATCCTGGCCATTAGCATAGACTCCCACCTGCACACCCCCATGTACTTCTTCCTCAGCAACCTGTCTTTTGTAGACGTCTGCTTCTCCTCCACTACTGTCCCCAAGATGCTGGCCAATCATATACTTGGGAGTCAGGCCATCTCCTTCTCTGGGTGTCTCACACAGTTGTATTTTATCATTGTCCTTGCCTACATGGACAATTTCCTCCTGGCTTTGATGGCCTATGATCGCTATATTGCTGTATGTCACCCCTTACACTACACAACAAAGATGACCCCCCAGCTCTGTGCTCTGTTGGTTGCATGGTCTTGGGTCATTGCCAATCTGCATGCTCTGTTGCACACCCTGCTGATGGCTCTACTTTCATTCTGTGAAGACAACACCATCTCCCACTACTTCTGTGATGTGGTTCCTCTCCTGAAACTCTCCTGTTCTGACACATACCTCAATGACATGATGATTCTTATTGTAGCAGGTCTGTTAATGATCGCTCCATTTATTTTCATCCTCATCTCATACATCTTTATTGCTTGTGCAGTTCTGAGGGTCCCATCCACAAAGGGAAGATGGAAAGCCTTCTCCACCTGTGGCTCCCACCTGGTTGTGGTTTCTTTTTTCTATGGCACCATCATTGCTGTCTATTTCAATCCTTCATCCTCCCACTCAGCCGAGAAAGACACGGCAGCTACTGTGTTGTACACGGTAGTGACGCCCATGCTGAACCCTTTCATCTACAGCCTAAGGAACAAGGACTTGAAAGGGGCTCTGAGAAAAGTGATTGGTAGAACAATATTTTATACCCAATAAAAGTATCAATACTGAATCTGATTTCAAAGCAAAGTTCTTTTCCAGCAACTGAGTATACTACAGTGGCAGTTGTTTTATAACAGACCATTTTGAAATGAATATTACTAGGGACACACAGAAGGCTATCATTGCTTTTTTATTAGTAGACTGAGATTTACCCGTAGCCCTGCTGCCTATGCCAAGCAATGGAACTTCTTTTTGATGATAAACTTGTGAATTAATTTATTCCCAAAGTTTCCCTTCTTAGGTGGCCTGTTTGAAGAGACACAGGCTAAAATAATTTTGAATATTAAAACCACCTGGGAAATTTTAAAATCACTCTGGAAGTCTAATCTCTGGGACCAGCCAAGTAATCAGAATCTCTGGGGTAGGGCCGGCACTGGTAAAGATGATAACGTGCAGGTGATTATAGTGCACAGTTGCTATGAGTTGTAATTGATGCGATGGCAGTGAGTTTGGTTTAGAATGTACAGCCAGGATCATGAATCACTGGACTATCTCATACTCCTTTATGGGTTCTCCATGATGGTCAACCTTAAAGGTTGGGCCTCAAATACTCTCACAAATTCATTTTGAGACTCAGACAGAAGAAATTCACTCAGAAGAAGGAGAATAATAATAATAATAATAATAAGCAGCAGGAGCAGTTCACTCAACTCACTGTCCTTGCATAGATTCTGACTGTGGGTTTCCAAGACTGTAAACATTTAAGGGAGTAGAAATCTGTACCTTTCTTCTACAAAGAGGTTGATTATTTCAAATTGCCAACCTTGTGATTAGCAGCCTAATGTGTAACCCATACTACCACCTGAGCTCCCTTAGGCAAAAGAAAGCAGGGTGATATCTCAGGACTCATCTTTGATCAGAAGCAGAGATCCTGGTGGGCTCTGTGGCCCAAGAGCACCAAGAAGTACAGAACCATGGACACCCTTCATGACTATATGGCTTGGATTCTTTTACATTGGGGTTGGGTTCATCTAGGAACAGGTGTTTGATATCACGGAAATAAATCAACATTTACCATTCTCTTTTCCTCGATAAGTTCTTCCCTGCTTGCTTCTCAGCAACCCCCTCTTCATGACACACCTTTGAAAACCAAGTTAAAGGTCACCTCCTCCTCTAAGAAACCTTCCTGACTCCTTCTTCTGAGACTCATGCATCTCTTTTCTGGGTTGATTGTACACTGTGCTATAATTATTTGCCTTTCATGTTCCCCTGTTCCCTGCTCCTACAAGACTTTGCACACATTATAAAATACTCCTGATCTAAAGACACACACCATTCACCTTAGATCTCTGGAGAAAAACAGACTTAGAATGGGGGGAAAAAGAAGAATCGGTGGATGAATATTGTTTTCACTTTAATTTTAGGAGTTTAAAAATATAACATTCTACAATTCCCAAGGTAATATCTATACATGCTGGAAAAACAAAAATTCATAAAGAATAAAATGAAAGTAATCTGTAATTTTTCCACTTAGGATAACCATAGTTAGACATTGATAAATATGGTTTTACATAAGTTGGCTGCAAACAGTCTCCTAATTTTTCCAGTTTATTCTTTCCATGTCAGCAAAGAACTTAGGAATGTGCATAATGTATCACATGGATGTAATATAACTTTTCCATTCTCCAACTCTGAACTACTTCGAATGTTTCTACTGTAATAAGTACTGCCATATACATTGTTGGATCTCTGAAGATTGCCACAGGTGATCTATGCGTCAACTTGGAACTACGTCTCCAACATGGATTAAAAGTTATGGTCATCTTTTCTTTATTTCTTCATTTCTTCCCAGCTGACCCCAGCTGCCATTTCTAGGGCAGTTCAGTCCTGTTGGTGTCCAAGCTCTCCAGAAACTCACTAAATTTCAAAGAAGCCTGTTAGTCCTGCTTCTTTGGTCGTCTTCATGTCTGTCAATGGCAGCATGGATAGCCAGTGCCCACAAATCCTTGGTGGGACTCCTAGGTCCACTTTTGGCTTCCAGGTTACTTTTGTCTGGAACACATTCATTTTATCTTTCATGAAAGGCCGACTCTGAGCTATGGTGGCTGTGTCCACAGGGCCTTCCAATCCCATTGTATCTCTCTAGCTCACCCATGAACATCTGTGTATCAGAACACCAAACTCAGATTTATCTTTTTTCCTCTTGAGATCCCCTTTGTGTCCTTGGGATCTTCTTAGGTGAACTTGATATCAATTAGTATTTTTTGCCCCTAAGGTACAGCTGTTTTGGACTAAACTGTGTTTCCAAAAAGATGTTTTGTAGCTCCTAACCCTATACCTATGGATGCAATTCCATTTGGGAAAAAGGTTTTCTTTGTTGATGAAGCCATGTCAGTGTTGGGCAGGGGTCCTCAAGCTTTTTAAACAGGGGGCCAGTTCACTGTCCCTCAGACAGTTGGAAGGCCGGACTATAGTTAAAAAAACCCCAACAACTATGAACAAATTCCTATGCACACTGCGCGTATCTTATTTTGAAGTAAAAAAACAACATGGGAACGAATACAATATTTAAAATGAAGAACAAGTAAAGTTAAATCAACAAACTTACCAGTATTACCAGTATTTTAATGGGAACTATGGGCCTGCTTTTTGTTAATGAGATGGTCAATGTCCAGTTCCATAATTATCACTGCTAGTCGTAACAAGCGATGCAAGTATGCATCAGTTGGTCTAGATCTGGTTGGAGATTTCAGATGTTTCATTCTGGAAAATGTCTGTTCACAGACATAAGTGCTGCCAAAGATGGTTGCCTTTTTGAGTGCATGGTTCCTGAGATTAGGATATGTCTCAGAGGGGAGAGATGCATAGAAATTAGGAAGGCTGCTTGACTTGAATGCGTCTTTCAGAGAGTCACAATTCTGCAGTTCAGCCAGTTCCATTTAGTAAATTGTATCCACATTTTCAATGGCAATAGAAAATGGGTTATGGAAAAGCTGTATGTCCTGTTCATGGAGATGAAGCTCTTTA